ATTGTAGTAGACTGGTAGAAAATAGATTGGTCACTGTATAGATGTCATAATTCTTTATGTTTTGTACTATATATGTATATAATATGTATACAGGTATTTTACATTTCATTGAAGAAATAAAGTTTATGTGAACTTGTCTGCCAGTTCCATAACTTTCTTTTTAACTAATAGCTGACTAGATTTTTTTTATTTCTGAGCTGTCTCAACCAGCTGTTCCCCCAAGATAAAATCCTACAGACTTCTGTCAGCACAGGTCAACATTTCACACTTGGACAGTGAGGAATATTTCACACTCGGACAGTGAGGAACATTTCACACTATCCCCACCAGTCATACTGATGCCAGGAAGACTACTAGATAATACTTGAGTTAGTCCAGAATGTTGGCAAAGTAAATTACATAAAAGTTAAAAACGTTTTCAGGCACAACTTGACACCACAGAGAACACTAAGCAATCCCCTGGCTAACTACCAAATGTCCAACAAGGTCACTACACTCAACTGCTGCCTTGTAGCAGCACTGATATCACAACAAATCCCTCAATTTAATCTCTTCACATTCTGTTCTGATTGACCTTGGCTGCAGGCTATATGGGCAAACAAAGCCCAGAAATTTGAGTCAAGTGGTTTGTGTTATCCTTAGGCACTGTACATTATTTTGATTGAGAATAGGCCTAGGTAATTACATAAGAAGTATCCACTAATGTAGCATGTGTGTAATTACCTAAGTGTGGGCCTGACAGCTGAATGGACAACGCTTTGGATTTGTAGTCCTGAGGTTCCAGGTTCGATCCCCGGTGGAGGCAGAAACAAATGGGAAAGTTTCTTTCACTCTGATGCCCCTGTTACCTAGCAGTAAATAGGTACCTGGGAGTTAGACAGCTACTACAGGCTGCTTCCTGGAGGTGTGTAACAAAAAGGAGTCCTGGTCGAGGACCGGGCCATGTGGATGCTAAGCCCCGAAATCATCTCAAGATAGTTACAAGAAAAAATCTACACTCGAGGTGTCCTGTCTTCCCAGTACTCTTTTATCATATGATACTATGAACCTACTGACAGTTTTGGCATCCACTGCCTTCTCACTTAAATTGATCCAACCGACCGTTCTATTTGCAAAAAGAGAACGCTTTAATATTATTCGGCAACTTTGTTTCCTTAACTTGAATCTATCACCTTTTGTTCTTCAAGTTGAAGGTTTCATAATTTTGTTGATTCTTCTTTTTCTCCTAGCTTTGGTATATTTAACAGCTCTAGCCTCTTCTTGTAACACATGTTTTGCAATTTTAGAAACCATTTAATAGTGCCTTTACACCTTTTCCAGTTTATTGATGTGCTTTTTGAAAAATGAGCACTATACAGTACAGCCACTGAATATTTAAATTTTGGTCTCACAAAGTCATGAACAATTTCTTTACTGTTTCACCATCAATGTGAAGTCAAGCAAGTCAAACCTAGTCCCGGGCCAGGGTTGTGGAGTAGAAGAACTCCCAGAACCCCATCCAGGAACAATGTATTTAAAAGTGATCTTTAAGTTGGAAAACATAGCATATGCTCTTTGCACAATATCCTTTATGTGGTTCTCTGGTGACAGTCTACTATCCAGAAGCACCTGAAGATCTCTTTCTTAGTCAAGGATTCTTTAATGTCTTTCCACATAATTTGTAGGTTGTGTGGCCTCTTTTCTCCTATTTCACTTTCCATAATATGGCATTTATTCACATTGAATTACATTAGCCAAGTGTTGCTTCATACACACACATTTTGTCTAGGTCATCTTGAAAGGCATGATAGTCATCCAAATCTGTATGTGTAGACAATTATTTGTAAGTGTCTCAACTTTTACCGACAAGGTTACCAGTAATTTTGTTGTGCCTGGTCTGTTTTTGCTTTCAGCTTTAGTAATTCTCCACTCTGGTTTTCTTTCTACAAGTGGAGTTCTTTAATGCTTTGTTCCAGAACAGGAATTTGTGCTCTGCACGTTGTATTAATCATCCAGCTATTTCAGTCCTGGTTTAGTTGTGTACCATAGTATGATGGGAGTTTCTTTTTATAAGATGACAAATGATGGCTGGCAGTGCAATTATTACAATAAGATGTTAGAAAGCGAGAGGAATGTTACCCTTTTTCGTATTGCTTCATAATTTTCAGACAGTACTTGATTTTTATTTTCATAGAAAATAGCACTTGCTCTCCCCTATTGTGGCTGCCATCTCTTATTTTATGACCCAAACTGAACCACTTGTTCAGATTTTCTGCTCCCCCGTTGTCTTCCTGCTTGAAGATTGACCACATCATTGTTGGTTTGCACAATCATCGCTTTCATTAGCAGGGAATATTTTTTGGAATCCACTTACAAACTTACTAATATGTCATAAACTCATGAAATAATGACACTAACCCTACAAAATAACAGATAACATACCAGGTTACTCAATCCTACTAGGTACTAGACCCACACACACATTAACATCAGGCTTCAGCACATAAAACGTAATCCTCCAGCTGTGATTGATGTCTCAGTATTGGCTAACAAGCTGGCAGGTCACACTCACAGAGCACAAGTAGTATACAGGCACACAACGGCCGTCTTCACACCAAACTGCTGTTTCCTTTAATGCGGACTGGCTTCCTGTTTATCTTCTGAGTGGCTCATCCAATCTCAGATCTCCATCCTTTTTGGATGCTTCTAATTATGTTCCTTCCTTTGATATTGAGGCCACAAACATTAAACAGACCATGGTGGCTCAGTCCTTTCCAATTGTCACTTCAGTCTCTCTCAACAAAGCATCCTTTTCCAACACCTCATTATGCAAACCTGGATGGTCTGACACATCTTGCAGGACCATGTCTAATTTTTTTCTAGAACATGGCCACTTGTTTTGACAATATTTCATATATTTGCTTGGGGGATATTGAATAGCTGTGGACCTCAGATGTTCAGGCATCTGAGGTTCACAGCTCTGGTATGATAACACTATGGTACCTCTACTCTTCACAGGGTCTAGTTTGCATATTCTACCATATCTTTCATTCCAGTATGTTGTTATTTTACTGTGTAGGACCTGGCCTTTAGGTATACTTCTCTCATGTCTTTTCTTAAAAGTTCATGTTGAGAGCTTTGATATCCTCCCAGTAATTTAGGTGCTTGTCTTCTTTCTAAAGTTACTGGCTTTCCTTGCCCATCCTCACCTTTAATTTAGACAGAGATGAGTTAAGGTTATCCAAGACTCTCTCCTCTGGTTACCAGGTTAATTTCTTCCAGTTTTCCACTCATTAGTTTGGGTGAGCCTTTCCCTTGTAGCAGGTATAGTGACATTCAACTGAGTAAAAAACTGAGCAACTGAGTGGGAAAAAAATCAGACTCTTGAGTGCATATGAAAAACACATTGCTAAGCATTCCAGTAGGTTGTTCCCATTTGCCCTTCCTTTCTCTGCCTTCACTATGCTTGATGGTAGTGTTTTCATTGTCTGTGGTTCAGGTAAAATAGCGAGAGGTCAGATTTTGGTGCTTTGGTGTGGTGTTGGTGCTGAAACCTGATGGCACTTTGTTGACATTCTGGGCTGGCTTAAGTATTCTCTAGTGTCTGCCTGCCTTTATTAGTGAGTTTGAAAAGTTCCTCACCGCACTAGTGCAGAATCTTTGATGGCCAGATCCTAACTGTAAGTAAGTAAAATTTCATCTTTGGGAAACAACCAAGTGCATTTCTCAGATAAGTGCTTTTCATATGCACTCAAAGCGTGATTTTTCTGTTTATATCACCTTATTGTTATTTCATTAGCAATAGGTCCAGAGTATTCAGTCCAGAGTATTGGAGAAATTTAGATGTCAAAAATATTTTTTTATTCTCTCTTAGGTGGCAGCTCTCAAAATAAGGAGCATCATCCTCTCTTGGATTAGGAAAGTTTTAGAATCCTGAACATAATTATTTTGCTAATTTGCTTTGTTGGTGTTAATTTTCAATAAGTACATTCATATCTTTTGGAGTCCTTTAATTATCAACTATGAATGCAGTGTTGTACTTATAGTTACGTTGCTAAATTATGTAGATGGAAAAATTAGTACCTGTACACTGGAAAATAATTATTTAAGAATACTTAAGTAGAGTATAGTATTATAGTTATATGCCACTTGAGGTCAAATATGAATATGTTTCAGTACTTAAAACTAAATTGCTGTAAATGTCAATATGTGTTTCACCTTAAGCTGTGAGACATTTAATTTCCTTGGTGTTTGATGCACAATTTATTTTTTTGTTTCCAAGAGAAAGGTGCTTCCTTTGTTTACAGTTGAACATATGCTTGTGATCCATGTCCAAGTCTAAATAAGAGCTCTATATGCTGGTTTCATAAATTCCTCATATTCTTTTCAAATATATTTTATAATTTTATTTGTACAAATTGCTGTGGGTGTTCCTTATTAGTGAAAACTTTTATACGTTTGTATGAGAGACTGATCACTGATGCAAGCATGAGTATTTACTCTGCTGCATATGGCAAAATTGTGTGTTACAGCATCCTTTGGTTAGTGCCATTTTGTGTGATCATCTTTAAACTGAATTTTCCTAAAAAAATATGTCTTCGACTCTCTATATGATGCTCTATAAAACTTCATCTTATCAGTGATTTCTTCATACATTTTACTAATACAGTATTTAAAATTTGTCTAAAACAGTACAGTAATATATATAAATACTGTATATATATATATATATGTATACAGTATATATTTTGGCCTAAATCTTTATATTTTGTAATAATTTACTTGCAGTTCTGTCTCTTGTTTATGTATATAGGATTCACCATATTATTCTGTAGACTGTCATTTCAACAATTCATGACAGTTTATGGTCTTGTAGGCTCTATGACCTCTTTTTTCATTATTTCTGAAAACTTATGAAACCTCCCAAGAGGGCAAGAAAGGCTCTGGGATACCAAAAGCCTCCAAAGATCATTGATTTAATTATGAAGCTGGTACTCAAAGGAGCAACTTTCCTCTTGCAGTGAAGGCTACCAAGAGCACAGAGGAGATGCGCAAACTCCTGGACAAGTAAGTCCCTGAGAGTAGACTCAAAATCAACTGCGTTTTAGTCTAACAATGCTACAGGCCTGTGCTCACTTTCTTTATTTGGCAGCTCTTTTTATCTTGGTATTTCATGGAGAATATAATACAGGTTGTGTGTGTTTCTTAACATGATCATAATTACAGCTTAGCAATTTTTTGTTTTATAGTTTTTTGTTTGCTTTAAATTTATAAGCTAATTAATTTGCTTAATTTGAAATACTGAATTGTATTATCATATGATTGTATACCTTTACAAGATATGGAGGGGTCTTATGGTTCTTACTAATATCATATGCCTCATTTATTTGTTTTTTAATCTTATGTTTAAGTAACATGGAAGCTAGACTATTAAAAAAGTACAGTAGTATCATTTTGAATCTTTGAGAGTGAGCCAGAGCCCATCTTGGTATATATTATTGAAATGGCACAACTGAGTAATTTACATGGTTGATTTAATCCATTATCAGAATTTTTCACGGTCTAGTCAGGCAGAGTCTTGATTATCTAATGTCATTTTCAGTCAGACACATGTACACACATACATGTACCTAGGCACACACACACACTCACACACACAATTGCAGTATGTAATATATTGCTCATGGCAGTCTAATAAGGCTCTCACTAGTTCCTTGAGATGTATATAATATTTAATAATATATACATTATATATATAATGTATATATTGCTTAGTTATAGTTATAAAAAATCCTTAGAAGGTAATGACAAAATTAAAAACTGCTGAATCATATGTGGTAATCCTTGCTAACTAGGACAAATCAGTTGGTTCTGCCTAAAAAAAGTCCTTCATTGCATCCTGCAGAAGTGACACAAGCTTTAGCACAGCCTCAGTTGCAGAGATAGTGTACCAAATTGTCAGGGCTGTGGGTTCCTATACGACAGCATTCAAACCCCCTCATGACTAACCTGCAAAGATCTACCCAGATCAGATGCAGAGAATAAATGCCAAACCTGAGGTGCACCTTGTGGTCCACCTTGTGGTCCACCACCATGAGTGATATGGACAAGCTAAGCAAGACTTCAGAGGGGCAAAATGTATTGTTAAGAGTAAGGGTTTCGTTGAATGAAATGTGATCGAGTCTGCTCTGATCAATCATTGTAACAACAGCCTTAATGTGAGCCCTGGTATGTACAAGTTGGATCCCCATATAAGCCTCAATATAGCACATCAATACAATATAGCATCTATTTAACCTGTATGGCACATTTATATATCTTCTAGTTCTGCATATTAATAGGAGCTGTATGAGGCCAATAGGCCTTCTGTATTTACCTTCTTTCTTATATTAACTTTCCTTCACCTTTTCTTGTTGGTCAGGTGATCTGCCCTGGTGGGTATAAAAGGTCTGATCAACCATGTTTCTATCTTCAGTCTACTTTGCTCTGATAAAGGCGAATTAGCCAATAACGAGTTAGGCAGTCTATTTTTCAAATGTGGTTTTTCCGCATGCTTGGATCAGTGTTTTTGTGATTATTGTTGCATATATATACTGTGTATGTATGTATGTATATATATATACTGTGTATGTATGTATGTATATGTATATATATATATATATATATATATATATATATATATATATATATATATATATATATATATATATATATATATATATATATATATATATATATATATATATAATACACACACACACACACACACAGATAATTACCTATAGATGATTACCACATTTAGGTAATTACCACTTAGGTAGTTACACATGCTTACTGATTAAGTTTCATGTGTAAGATCTAATGGCATAGATAATCAAGATACTGTTTACCTGAATTTCTGATAATCAGTGCATTGGTGTATTGCATAATTATACTCTTGTATTTTAGAGTCTTTGTAGTAATTTCATGATGTAATTTGTAGCTAATCACATATAAAGAAAAATGAACACTGACATGCATGAGAGATGGATTAGTAATGTCTTTCCCAAGGATTTTAACAATATCTAACATTTCAATATTTTACTTTTCACGAGGAAACTGGTTAAGAGCTGTAAGTTTTTTCTGGAACAAGCCTAGCTGATTTCATCATGCTTCATGGATCTCATATTGCTGTTTGATAGCAATAGCCCACTTTTGAAGCTTTAGTTTGTTTAGAATCTCAAAGAAAACTTTGCTTTTGATGGTGTATGACTGCTTCTCTCAGTCTGCCTTGCATTCTCTTGAGACACTTGGACGGGCATTTTACAACTGCTTTTATACAGAAGTTAAGTTGTAGGTAAATGGAAGCAGTAAAGGGACCCCCCTTAGTTAACAAATATAATTCATGGGCATTAAGTGTCTAAGAGAATATAAGATAGAGTTTATGCTAGAATAACCCAAGTTCAGCGAGGTTAGGTTTCCCATACAATGGAATAAAAAATAATCCTCACTTGAATAAATATGATAAATTTAAATTATGAGTTAGTAGAAAGTATGAATCTTCAAACTCTATGGCCTGAATTTAAAAATTTGAGAACTTGAAAATAGCCATTTTAAAAAAATGGTGCTTCATAATTTAAACAAATGAAACTGAAGTGTATTTTAAAATACTTTAAAATAAAATCATTTTTGCTAAAGTTCTGAATTGAGGCCAGTGGGTGTGATACTGGAGCATCTCCTAATACTGTATTATCAAATTACTTTTTATTCATAACCTAGTGTAGATTACTTTGAGTTGTTGCATGATTCCTTATTGAGCAGGGCATTTTAAGCTTTGCATATTACTTATTTTGTTGCATGTCTGCATGAAAAACATTATCTTTTTATTATGATAAACAATATATTGCCTCTAGATTAATAAATTATAAATAAATTGTATAGTATTCTATTAAGTGCTGAATATAAAATGCATTTAGCTGTTAATTTTGCACCTCCATTTTTGTGTTAATGTGTATAGATGTATTGTACAGTTTGAGCAATATTTTAATGCTATATACAGTTTCTCTTTATATAATATTGTCTGAAACAGTATACAGTATTTCATCAGTTAACATGTATGGTAAAATATTGATAGAGAATTCGTGCGAAAGTCTCCTAGTTGATATGATTAGCATATAATAGGGTAGTTAAACCTTAAATTACAGAGACCTTTTAAGCTGAAATGATACTACCTTCGAAGAAGTAAAGTAAGTGTACATTTTCCAACAATTGTTATTATTTTTTCCCACACTGCTGCCATGTTTTCCAACATGTTTCCAAAGTCTGCATTATTATCCAACATTTACTTATTCACATTCCTACCATTCATTTTGTTCATTTTATTATTACTCTATATGATATAAAAGCTGACAGCTTTATTCAGTAATGTTTATCTCAGTTTAACAGCAACAGAACAAGTGTTAAACTAATACTTTTATGAAAAAACAGCTTGTGTTCTCTGATGCAAAAACATGTAATCCAATTGCAGCTTATTGGAATTACTTGATAATCCAACCAAATTCAGAGCTAGATTATTACTGTATTGACTTAATACCATATGCAGATTATGTAGTGTTAAGCCACATTATTAAGGATTAATAGACAACCATTAAGGTCTCTCACCTTTCAACTCAAAGCTTTATTTAAATTTTACTTTTCCCATGTGTTTTTGCTAATAAAGTACTGAATGTGTAAATATATGTTATATTATTTACACAAAATATAAAAAAAATAGTATTTGATCCTAAAATAGCAAACAAAACAAAATGCTACTTAATCTAGACTGCCAAGCAGTGTGTCATGATTCCAGACACAATTTGGTTGTATTAGCTAAAGTTTAATTAAAGTATACTATATCCCCTATAATGAAATGCATTCATTGTACCATGTTCGAAGAAGCAAGGGAAAGGGAAACAGAGCTAAGCCTAGATTTTTTTTTACAAATCCATATTACAGTACAGTATATATTTTTTAATACAGTGTTACTAACTGGAATAGAGGAAAGGATTCACACAATAAATCATACTGTAACTAGCTTGACAAACACTGCATTAACACAGTGTTGTGTGGCAGCTGTGCAGAACACAGTGTTGTGTGGCAGCTGTGTAGAACAGTGTTGTGTGGCAGCTGTGCAGAACACAGTGTTATGTGGCAACTGTGCAGAACACATAGTGTTGTGTGGCAGCTGTGTAGAACACATAGTGTTGTGTGGCAGCTGTGCAGAACACAGTGTTGTGTGGCAGCTGTGCAAGCCAATGTTTCTCAGTGAGGAGAACATGCTGGAAAAGTAATGCATGCATAAGTAAATTTGTAAAAATTTCTTCATCCAATGGTGTTTTGATTTAAGTAACTGAGTTCAACAGAAGTTTGGATGCAACAAACAGATTCCAACTTGGTTGTACTGTCTTTCTAATTTCCAGATTAGATGTCTGAATAAATATGGAAAATTTTGCTAATTGAGATTTGCAATCTGGTGCCATTAACATAAAATTTTACAATGTTGTTATATTCTAGTATAAATTAATTTTTTTGTATGATTTTGGTACAGTATTGCAGTATGCACAAATACTTGCTCTACAATTTGTACTTATAGAGTTTGGAATTCTGAAGATGAAGTGCACAATATACTCTTACCACTAGCAGCAATTAATCAAATTTCAGTTTAAAAATAACCTGCCAAGGCTTTTGCACAGTAACATAAGGAGGAAAACAACAGTAGAGGACCAAGTAAATTGATAATAGAATTTATCATGAATTTTAATAAAATGTGTCAAATTCTATGAAGAACACTATGCAAGATTCCAGGTCTTTAGGATAAAAAGAGTGAATACAGATGTATAGAAAATACAGTGAGGTACACTGGGTTCCTGAGGACACAGTAAAGTGGTACCTGACAAAACAAAATGTGAAAAAACAGTAGAACCAGCCGAGATATCACTGTGATATCAGAGAGGCTGTTTAAGAAATTACAAAAGTGGAAGACTGTACATGTACTGATATTCAAGAAAGGAGATAGGAGGCTCTAAACCACAGGCCAGTCCCTCTGACTTGCATTCCCCTTAAAGTACAGTATTGGAAAAATAATCAGAAAATGGATTGAGGAGCAAGTCCTACATGATGAAAATTATAGCATTAAACAACAAGGTCACCAAGATAGGAGAGAAGGGAGTTAGGTGACTTATATCTTCCTAAACTACCAAAGAGCCTTTGATATTGTTCCCCCAAAAAGTCTAGTATATAAGGTACAGATGCAGGTTGAAATAACTGGAAGGGTACTGGACTTTGTAGGGAAGTATCTGATAACAGAAAAAAAGTTTTTATGAGGAAATGTTATAGTAGAGGTAAATGGCAATTAGATTCCTGCAAGGCTCATTCCTTAAACTTCTTACAGTATCTAATTATAGGGAACGACTTATCCACTTTAGTTCTTACATGAGAGTGATTATAAACAATGCAAATCTGGTGAGAAAGGTAAGGACTGAAGAGGAGTGCAGGATACTCTGTAATTACCTAATCAAGCAAGAGGCCAAATGACTAGCAGAGTTCAATCCCAGGAATTATAAAGTAATAAAGATAGGGAAAAGGAAAAAAAAAGACCAGATAGACATTGTAATATTAGATTGAAGTTACAGGAATCACTAATGGAGATAATCTTGGGCATGGACATACTACTAGTTTCAATGCTGGAGTCACACTTAAACAGAAAAATATTGGCAGCAAATTCAAAACCAGTAAGCATATGGGCAGTTCTTACAGGCCTAAAAAGAATTTTAAGCAGAACACTAGATAACATTTTCAAGCTAGTTCTGAAATACATAGAACAGGCATAGAATCTCTACTTTGTGAAGTGTAAGAGATGATTAGAATTTATCTTTTTTTTCACATTATTTGTATTGTGAGATATGTCTCACACAGGAACCAGGCATATCTCCTTCAACTGAAAAATACCCTAGATAGTAATTTAATTTTTTTTATTAATAAAATTGATGAACTGTAACAGGTAATTAAGTTTCTACTGCATAAATAAAATGGATTAGATTAGGACAATTAAACAAATTCAGTAATTTTTATATTAGTCTTGTGTCAGGTACCAATTATTTCATTACACTACACTTATGTCTTGTTTGGTCGACATTATAATGCAACAGACACATTGTTAGTAATTTTTGTTTGCAGAAAAGAAGCCAGTTTTTAATGAACTTTGAACAGTTTTATAATTTTAAGTTACCCGGATTTTGATATTTAAGATATAAGGTATTATTTGTTGAATACTGGACCAAATAGTCATTAATTATACCATGATTATACTGCATGAAATGCAAGCATCTATTCAGTACAGTGAAATATCTACTGATAACATAGATTTAATGTTGCCTTGTGTTGTGTAATCCTGTATATGCTAAGAGTATATTTTCATAATTCATCTATTAACATTAAATTACAGTATTTTTTCCTTTAGGTATAGTCATTGTAGTAAATCCATATAGATTCTACGTGGTATGGATTTAAATACTGCAAAACCCTTATGAATTTTCTCAAATTAGGAGATATTTTTATCTGAAGTAATTCGTCGTTTCAAATATTTCAGAAATGAAGCAGCAGCCCACATTCAAAATGGAGGCCTAAGGATGGTGAGTGATGAAATGAACGTGTGAGGTCCTCTATACCTTTCTGAAGGACCCCGTCATCCCCGTGCCATACGAGGCAACCTGGTTACCGCCCCATGTCACTAACCACAGATCATTGATACCAAGCACCCCTGTTGAACACAAATACTCAGCAATATACAAGATACTGTATACTGAGTGAGAAAATGTTATGAAAATATTCTGAAGAGACTAGTTACCCCTGGCAAAAAGGTTACAGAAAGAGAGAGCATAGAGGTTATTAATGACAGTGACAAAAGGAATTCATACAAATGATTTAGCATGAAAGGATCATGTGAAGAATTAATTACACAAATTACAAGCAATGAAGAATAAATCATCTGTACCCTGTGTGATACTGATGCTCTCTACACTAATTGAAAGCCTCATGATATTATTTTCATTGCAAGCAGCAAGTTGGCATGATGTGCATTAGCAATGAAGATCCAAATGAGGTTATATCTTGGCTAGTTGTATGTGTTCAAAGGGGGTGACTGAATTCTTCTTTATTGTTACTGCGTCACAGTTCCCCCCCTCACCCCCCCGCTCATGAGATTAATTAACCTGCTGTGGACTCCATTGTTGTACTCCCCTCATTACCAAGGCAAGCCCACACTGATTGACGTTTAAGCTTTGAGTGTTTCTTGCAGTGTTGTGTATCACATAACAGTAGCAGTATTCTTTCTCTGCCCTCTGCTCAGTTTGAAATCTGAATTTGAAAGCAAGTGCTTCTGTTGTAGTGTTTTTTGCACCGGTATTTTGAGGGCCATACCGTCAGCAATGCATTTATTATGCAGTAAACCCTACCCATAGCAGTTAATGGATTGTCTTCAATGGCCATTGGACCATAAGTGCTGTGCGATAGTATGAACTGAACTAAGTATTGCTGTGTGAATCATCCATGACGGTGCTACTTGGAAGTGACTCTCGACTTGTTTGGTGTTCTACGTACTTTGTGATACGACCCAAGTCTAGTCAAGGGCGGGGGACAAAACTGTGTATGTTTGCCTGAACCTTTGTGACGCATATGTAACCAGTATGCTCAGTTTTACTATTTTTTAAATAATTAACAATAGTAGTCCAATTAAGGAGTAAGACAGAGAGAATGGCAGAAAAAGGGCTATCATCTGAGGGAAGGAGCCATATATAGTAAGTTTGGCTAAGAAGATATAGTGTTAACTTCTCAACCATGGTTGTTTCGTAATGCTTGGCTACAGGGATACATACGTAGAGATTCTGCAGATACTTGTATAATTATCTCGCAAATTATAAATATAAGCCATGATATGATTTTAATGAAGCCCGAAGACATCTCTGTAAGTGCACAAACCAAATGCCATCTCCCTGTCTACTCATTTGCCGCAGCGTTCCTAGGTGTTGCTTAATTTCCGCAGCTTGCAAGACAATATGTAATCAGACCAGCAATTTTGGATCTTACTCAGGGCTACAATATGACAAATTGTGCATTTGCACTGAAGGATAAAAAGTTTTATTAAATCCTAAAAATAAGGACAAAATTGCTGGGAGCATCACAATATCCATTATAAAATATATTGTAAGGCATCTTGCTAGGTAATACTTTATTTGTATATGAAATTCATCAGTCTTAGGAACAGATTGGCAAATTCTCATTGCCAATTCATCAGTTTCTACTTAAATCCATTTCCATGTAAACTTTTCTTACGAATCTAAGATAAAAATGTTGACGTGTAAGTATGTGTGCATTGCTTCTTCATAGTGTTAGAATTGTGTGAAAGTGAGTATTATATTACAATAGATAATAAGTCGTTGCAGAACTGTTGTACTTCTATAAATATTGACATGTGTCATGCAGGTGTCTGACAATAGCTGTAACCCTCAAGTCCTCTGAGCAATGTTTTGGAAGTCTGAGGAATTTTTACAGTTTAAAGCTGATATATATTTTAGTTCTTTTCCAGAATATAATTGAAGATTCGTGTTATGGTACGACATATTAAACATCATGGATTTATACAATACAAGGATTGTTGTACGAGACCATGAACCTACATAACACCCCTTTTTATCTAGTGTTCATCTCATTCAACCAAAACATGCTGATATCTTCCATAAGCTCAAGTGTAATACATGTAGTCTTTGATAAATGTTGCCAGTGTAATCTCCGCCTGCCCTAAATAATTATTCAATTATTGATTTGCAGTTTATTGGTAATGGAGTTACTGAAGGCATTACTACCTGAATTGTAGAGAGGTCATGCTTTCTATCTATGCATATGTATAATTTTACCCCCAAAATGATCAGAAAAAATAAATTCCCCAAAAAGTATAAAATGCTCAAACTGTTTGAGTAGATAAATGAACGCTTTTTCTACTGCTTTTAGGTAGGATTAATTAATGTTGAAATCTCAGTACAGTATTAGGCAATATAGAAATACATGCAAGACCTATAAAGCACATTTCCTTGGATTTTGATTCAACTGACAATTTTTGTATGTATGTTAAGAATTGTCTGTTATTGAATTGTTTGTACCATTTCTATACACATATGTGTGTGATTATGCATCATAGTAGACATTGCTTGTCATTATCTTGACCAGGGAGGGTGGGTGCTAATGGGAGGGGGACAGTGGTGATCAATAGCATCTTGACCAGCACCCTATCATGGGTCGCAATATTGCATGATAGCAACAGAATGCACCATAAGGTGCAGAATAATCTGTATTTGCTGTTTATGACACTTGGAAATAAGAGAGAGTTCTATTTTTATTAAAGTGATCATGATACATTACAAAAAAGAATAATATGGGATACTAACAGAAGGTCATTCTGTTATGAGTGAAATGAGACTTAAAAGAAGAGGTAATGATGAAATACTCTGTGTTACAGTAGTTTGGTATATTATTAGGAAACACACGACTGACTGAATATTGTAAATTCAAAGTCACTGATAATTTCTCATTTCTAAATTTGGCAGTTTTTAAAGGGGATAAACTGGTCCAGATATAGGAATGACATTGAAATTGCATTCATGTACCAGAAATGAGTTATTGTACTAAATGATCGTAAATAAATATGCTGATCTATTAAAGTTAACAATTGCTTAACATATGTACCAGGTATATAAATAATGCAAAATAAAGAAATTATACCACATATGTTCTATGACAAGAAACTCATACAAAATGTCAGTCAATTAAGTCTACAGAATATCAAGGGATGAATATCAAGGAATGCCCTGATGTCCCCCTACCCAGTAGTTTTGTCTTTCCCTGTAGATTAGAGTTACACAGCCATGGTTTTCTTTTATTAATGTCAATGTAACCACACATAAAGGTTATTGATACTTAAACACTGAGATTGCTAGATGTTTAATTATACTGTAGCGGGTAGGAGAACTTGAAGTATTACCACTGCATGAATTGTACACATTGACATTATATAACCAAGTTTTCAATGGTAAATATAATATTTGTTTGTTTCATACAACACAGTGCTCTTATTGGCTGAGCAACGTAGTGTGTGACTGTTAGCTGATTAAGGGGTGACATTATATGAATCCAAGAAGATACAACTAGAAGTTGTGGACTCATGATACTGCTCAGTAAGGTCCATTTATCCTATGTTTTATATAGGAATATTGGCTTTCACAAGGCAGCATCTGAGACATACAATCACCGATTATGTCACTTGTTTACCAGCGAGAATCCATTATAAGCATTTAAATATTCTCCATGTACTCTGACATCTGTGTTGCTTGATTATGTCAGAAGTTTCATATGGTTAGGGTTTGTGAGCAGGTATGCTTTATTGCAGAGTTTTTAATGAAGCTGCACATTCTTTCAAAGTTAAGAATATGCATTTATGTTTATAAATACATAAATATTTATAAATATTGATCTATTATAAAAAGCTACATCTAATGTGAACATGGGCAATAAAGCATCAAGCTTTCAAATCTTTGCACAACTGAAATTTCTAGATTGTTTCTCGTATAGTTTTGTGAAATTGTGTTTGCCTGTGTTATCATGGGTTTAAAATATCCAAATCTGCCTAAAGGAAGAAAACATTTGTGAGAACCAGAAATTATATGAATGTGTTTGATATTATAAGAATTTGTATAAGTCTCTGCGCATGTGGTTGTACTTTCCAAGTGAAAGCTGCTTGATATTAGCATTGTATGGCTTATAGGAAATTGTCAGGGTATTGCAACGAAATTCTTAATGTTTATTTGGAATGCATCAGATTTTAAACTAGTATGATTGCCTAAATAAAATAAGTATTGCCACTGTACTGAATGTAATTATAAATTTGCTTTACTATGTCTCTGCTTAAGACAAAATAGACTTAATGGATTATTTAATTTCAATGCACTGGCAGGAATAGTCTTTGATGATAGGTAGGGACAGTTAGGTAAGTAGAACCGATATAATATAATATGGAAATGGAAACTTTTATTAAGGAAAATGTATTTATGGTAATTAGGAGTATTATATAATGACAGACTTCATGACATTAAACAACCACTGAACACTCAGTGTGACAGGGTGAATCTCAATTATGCATGACGGATGTATCTTATGATAATTTTAAAGGCTTTGTTTGATACTGTATTATTATTAAATTGTGACTATGGAGCATGTAAAAACATATTATTAAAAACTCTTCCTGAGGGCAGATTACAAGTGTTATGAGACAGTTCTGGTTATTTAGCAATTTTTACAATTTGTAGGTACTTCGAAATGATGGCTCTTTATTGCCTCAGTACAATTAGCAGAATACTGTATCCAATTCAGGGACAAAGTATCAGCCAACCAGAACCTCTCATTGCACTTGTAAATTGTGTTGTGACAAGGGAATCTGCGCCTTGTTGGGTTTCTAATTAAGGCTCGGTTTTGCTCGTCACTTCACATTTTCTACCAAATATAGTGTAAACAATTATGTATCATGAAATAAACCATGAGAAATATTTTGAATATTTATCCAAACAAATTGTTTTAGAAAAGAAGCTCTTTTGGTACGAAATAAGAAAATGCAGCAAGTAAACCGGGTGGAAAAGCTAGCAGTAATGTTAACCTTTTATTCAGCTAAATTAAATTACTCATTACAATAATCTGTTAAATGGGAGTGTCTTTCTATATGCACATCTTAAGGTTATTGTAGCTGCAGACATCTGCTTTAGTTGACATCAAGAATTCCTGAGCAGAGGTATTTTACTTGGTATCATTACCTCAGTGTTTTTAAGCATTATTGGCAATAAACATTATTAGCAGCCCTAAGGGTTAAATACAATATTAATACATTGTGTCGGAGGACAGGAAGCCAGAGTGTATTCATACATGTTTTGGCTTTTATTGAAGTCTTCCCCCCACTACACCCCAATGCCAAATTACTGACCCCACCCAGGATGCAACCCCTGCAACAAGCTGGCTAACTTCTAAGTACCTACTCACTGCTAAATGAACAGGGTTCACACGACTGTTCATTATAATAAGAGTTCCCGGTTCGAATCCCAGACGGGACAGAAATGGTTGGGAACATTTCCTTTCACCTAATGCCACTATTCACCTAGCAGTGAGTAGGTACTCAGGAGTTAGTCAGCGTCTTGTCGGGTTCCATCCTGGGCGGGGTTAGTAATTTTGCCTTGGTGGGGGAGGACCTCGATATAAGCCTTTACGTGTATGAATACACTCTGGCTTCCTGACTAACTGGCTTATACATATATACCCTGTATCACCACATATACTCTGTACAACCACATGTACTCTGCACCACCATGTGCACCCTGTATCACCACATGAACTCTGCTCTCCACCCTCAAAGAGCCGATTGGTATTGGGTAATAAATATGAAAAAATTATTAATTAATAATTACTAAAGCATGCAATACAGTTTGTGCATCCTCGGAATGGTTAGTAATTCGACCTTGTGCAATACAGAGCACAGACAGAAGACAGCACGGAGACCTTGTGGGACTGAGCACAGAGTGCTCCAAATTTAGCTAAATCATTTGCTCGTAAGGAGGGAATTGATTACCATTTCTGATTGCCTTTGAGTAGCCTCAGAGCATCAATATTCCGAGAAAAATCAAGAAAATCTACTTGACTTGAGGCAAAAGTTAAGTAATTATTATTAATAATAATTATTAATTAAGATGCATAGTTCCCCTATGGTATACATAGCTACCACCTATGGCTCCTTATTTTATTATATTTGATGATTTTAAGGCTTAATAATTAAGACTGTAGTGAAGTCGTCAGCGAAGATGACGGCTGTTGACGGATGAATACTCTTTACTAAAATAATTTATTCTACTGAAAATAGTTAACAAAAGTTATAATAAGTCTCCATTATGTGCCAACTAATGTTTCAATCCATGATTAAAACCACTATTTTACAGTGCATCCTGTTAAAAGTTAGCACTTTGGAGAAATCTTGGTGCTTCCCAGTAAATTATAATAAGCACTCCATAAATTATTACATATAATAATGGTGCGTTCGCCAAACATTATATACAATAGTGTAAGCTTTACAAAAACGATAAGAGAATGGATTGTAGGAACGTTCACAGAAAACGATGTAACATTGGAATGTCTATAGGGCTCACTACTGCAAACAGGATGGATATTGGGGGGGATTCCACAGCAAGTCACACGATGTTTATGAGGACCACTACCACCTAAAAGTATAGGTATGGGGTCCACTCCCACCTGTTGGATGGGTATTGGGTCGACTAACACCTGTTGCATGGGTATGCGGTCAACTACCGCCAAGAGGATGTGTGTATGGTTCACAACCGCCCACAGGACATTCATTCAAACAGGGTGGGTATTGGGTTCACTACTATCCACAGGATGGGTAAGGGGTCCACTACCACCTGTAAGATGGGTATGGGGCCTACAATCACCCATAGGATGAGTATAAGGTCCATTACCATTCAAAGGATGGTTGTGAATAAGTATGGTATAAGTATGGGGTCCATTACCGCACAAAGGTGGGTGGTAGTGGATCGCATACCCATCTCGTGGGTAGTAATGGACCCTATACCCATCCTATGGTCGGTAACGGATACCATACCCATCCTGATGGCAGTAGGGGACCCCATACTCATCCAATAGGTGGTAGTGGACCCCATACCCGAAACATCCGAAACGCTATGCGTACTAGTAGCTTTACAAGAATGTAAGAATATCATGTACTCTCATAACCCCAATGTACCTTCTTGTATATAAATAAATGAATAAATAAATAAATAAATAAATAAATAAATAAATAAATAAATAAATAACCATCCTACGGGTGGTGGAGGACCTCATACACATCGAGTGACTAGTTGTGGACCCTATATCCATCCTGAGAATACACTTGCAGTATTGACGGTAGCAATGTCCAGTGTACAGGTTCTCAAGTAGGAAGACTTGAGGGGCATGACCGACGAGAGGCTTTAAAACATCAGAGGCTGGTGTCACTTGACAGACTTGACGTGGCAATGTCGTGTTATGCTATCCCGTCGTTGTAGATCTTCCTTAGTACCCCGAAACGGTCTTAGTTGCCTTCCTTACTGTCTGGCTGTGGTCGTCTGAGGTGGAGGTTATGATAAGACAGTTATAAGCTTATAAATCTCAAGGTAAACATACATCTCTAACAGGCAGAACTGAAGAGATTGGAGTTGTAGAGGGCGTGTAGGAAGGAGCTGGGAACCGCCTGACATCATATAAGCCTCATCTTGAGACATATTTCAGGCGCTCGAGGAGTACATTGGGAAGACGGAGACAGGAAGAGCAAGGAAGGTGACGGAGAGTCTTGTTTTGAAAACGAGAGGAGCACTGAGGACCTATCCGGCTTCACGTGGTGATCATCGAGGACGCCACTTGTGTAGAATAATATTCTGAACCATGTCATCCTGGACGTTAATAGTTATTATAGAGCCCAAATGTTCACACTTCAATAAGTTAAAATCACTTAATTTGTCATTAACGAGCAATATCTTAAGTCAATTGAAAACAAATATTTAACATCATCCAGTGTTGTGTCAGTAATTTTGGGTTGTTGAGTTTGTTAGTCTGTTATTGCATATACTGTATATTGTAGTTGTCGAACGGCCATTAACAGTTTTTTTTTTTTTTTTTTTTTTTTTTTTTTTTTTTTTTTTTTTTGAGATATATACAAGAGTTGTTACATTCTTGTACAGCCACTAGTACGCGTAGCGTTTCGGGCAGGTCCCTGGAATACGATCCCCTGCCGCGAAGAATCGTTTTTTCATCCAAGTACACATTTTACTGTTGCGTTAAACAGAGGCTACAGTTAAGGAATTGCGCCCAGTAAATCCTCCCCAGCCAGGATACGAACCCATGACATAGCGCTCGCGGAACGCCAGGCGAGTGTCTTACCACTACACCACGGAGACTGTAGTTCTTGACTGACTACGATTACTACTTCACTGCCGATTCTATTGCAAATGTTGCTCTGTTGTCCTGTTGCATCATTTACAATAGAATGTTGTATATTGTTTGTGAATTAGATTTTGAAATTAACAACGTCAAACATTCAAGCTGGGGATCGTTATTGGTTCATTAGAGACTCGTTCGTATTTGGGGAAGTGAAGGAGTGGCTGTTGGCCATTGATAATTGAGACTTCAGACGCGCAAAATGTTAACCAATGGAGTGAGGTTTAGGGTGAATGTCAACCAATCAGTGACCGGGTTTGGTTGGTTGCTGGTTATATAAGGGACGGTGAGACCAAAAAACACTCATTTGGTCACGGAGACATCTCCCGTCACGCAGGGTGCAGTCGCACCTCCACAAATCTCCAGTATCATCTATCGATACTGGTAATGGCTCAAAGGGGCCACCACTTACGGGCTATTCATGCCCGTGCTCCCCTTTTGGGTGGCTTAATCTTCATCAATCAAAAAAACTTCAGTGTGTTTTACCTCACTTTTAATATCCAGTTCCAGGTTCGTCTCTTGAAGTTTAGTTGTATGTGGTGGATCCCCTTCATGCGTCCCCCTTTGTTGCATCTCCCTCCCGTTCTCCTGGTTCCCCGTACTGGAACTGGTGTAGCGTATGGGGTGGAAAGCTAACCTTATTTCAGATTCGCCTTAATGAATCGATGGTTGGGATAAGTGCACATAATGATGCGTGTGGCACTATTACAGACCCAAACTGGCCTGTGACGCTCTTCTACTGCACTTGGCTGGAGTTGTCATTCAGTAACGGGTAACTAGCGAATTTTCCAAAAAGAAAGGAACCCGGACGTTTAATCTTTAGGATGTCCATCCATGGTTAGTCTTTTATTTCTTACCATCAGTGCGAATTGTATAACTTCCTGTCGTAGATATTAATCGTAAAAATTGCCTCACGGTAGTATTTCGGTAGATTTGTATCATTCACGATTTCCGTTAGTGTAGCTGTGTAAATAGTTCTCTAATATAAAAAGTTAACGGAATAATTCCTGACCATTGCAACTAAACGATAGTTAACTACCGGTTCGTTGTGGTGCAATTGTCAGCGCGCCCGGAGGTGGCTCCGACTGCCTGACAGTCACATGCTTGACAATCGCACAGTAAGTAAAATTCAGATGCTAGTCTCCGGACAACTCCACACAGTGGATTGCTCTAGTAGTTCAAAAAGTTGTAGTTTGGTAATATATAGTACAGAAATGCACCGTTGACTGTTAGAAGAAAATGTTAACTTATTCAGTTAAATGTAGAGTTAAGCTTTGTTAAAAAAAAAAAAAAATGGCTGTTTTTAGTAGTCGCTGACTACAAAGGTCTGGCATTAATGATTGTACAAGTTTTGAATTTAAACAATCATTCAGTTTCAGCCTCTGATTGTCATCTACAAACATCTAGATTAACTACAACCCTAGCCAAGAGGCTTAACAAATGTTAGAGTATCTTGGATAGTAGCAACTTGACAGATAATTACTAATTAAATTTGAAGCAAATATCCTGCTTAACTTTCTCG